AAAAATAAACTCAAAATGGATTAAAGACCTAACCGTAAGGCCAGACACTATCAAACTCTTAGAGAAAAACATAGGCAGATACATCACAGCAAGATCCTTTTTGACCCACCTCCTAGAGAAATGGAAAGAAAAACAAAAATAAACAAATGGGACCTAATCAAACTTAAAAGCTTTTGCACAGCAAAGGAAACCATAAACAAGACAAAAAGACAACCCTCAGAATGGGAGAAAATATTTGCAAATGAAGCAACTGACGAAGGATTAATCTCCAAAATTTACAAGCAGCTCATGCAGCTCAATAACAAAAAAACAAGCAACCCAATTCAAAAATGGACAGAAGACCTAAATAGACATCTCTCCAAAGAAGATATACAGATTGCCAACAAACACATGAAAGAATGCTCATCATCATTAATCATTAGAGAAATGCAAATCAAAACTACAATGAGATATCACCTCACTCCAGTCAGAATGGCCATCATCAAAGAATCTACAAACAATAAATGCTGGAGAGGGTGTGGAGAAAAGGGAACGCTCTTGCAACCCTCTGTTGGTGGGAATGTAAATTGATACAGTCACTATGGAGAACAGTATGGAGGTTCCTTAAAATCTAAAAATAGAACTACCGTGCGACCCAGCAATCCCACTACTGGGCATACACCCTGAGAAAACCATAATTCAAAAAGAGTCACGTACCACAGTGTTCAATGCAGCTCTGTTTACAATAGCCAGGACATGGAAGCAACCTAAGTGTCCATCGACAGAGAATGGATAAAGAAGATGTGGCACATATATACAATGGAATATTACTCAGCCATAAAAAGAAATGAAATTGAGTTATTTGTAGTGAGGTGGGTGGACCTAGAGACTGTCATACAAAGGGAAGTAAGTCAAAAAGAGAAAAATAAATACTGTATGCTAACACATGTATATGGAATCTAAAAAAAAAATGGTTCTGATGAACCTAGGGGCAAGACAGGAATAAAGATGCAGATGTAGAGAATGGACTTGAGGACAAGGGGAGGGGAAGGGTAAGCTGGGATGAAGTGAGAGAGTGGCATGCACATACATACACTACCAAATGGAAAACAGATAGCTAGTGGGAAGCAGCCGCATAGCACAGGGAGATCAGCTCTGTGCTTTGTGACCACCTAGAGGGGTGGGGTAGGGAGGGTGGGAGGGAGACGCAAGAGGGAGGGGATATGGGGATACATGTATATGTATAGCTGATTCACTTTGTTATAAAGCAGAAACTAACATACCATTGTAAAGCAATTATACTCCAATAAAGGTGGTAAAAAAAAAAAAAAATCCTGGACTGAGTCCACATGTGAATACGTTCAAGGTCAGCCTTGGAAAAAGGCTCAAGGCCAGGGCACACGGTGACCCTCCCAGGGCAAATGTGTTCTCCAGATGCAGAATACAGCATCCCATAGGGACAAGCCATCAAACGAGCACTCTTGAAGGCTGCAATGTCGCCGGGGCCATGGTCCTTCCAGCCCAGCGTTCCGCCTCTGACAACAGTTCCAATAAAACCCATGGGTGACTGCAGTGCCTCGAACCTCCGAGTTTGCTCCCCAGGTACACGTCCAGCTTCCTCCCCAAACCACCATGACTTTGAGGCTCTTCTGGGTGTCCTCTTTTTCATTCAACACCACCTCTTTTCGTGGTGACCAGCTGCTGTACTGAGAATTTGTGCTTGTCCTAGAGTAACTCTTCCCAGGCCAAGCCTCCCACTCTGTACTGGTCACGGTTGGATGCTGGGGAATCCCTGCCTGCAAGGGTCTCAAGGTTTCTAGAAAGACTCTAGAACAGGGATGCCCCAAGTGATGTCCCCAGACAAGCAGGATCAGCACCACTTGGGGCCCCACCCCAGTCCTCCTGAATCAGAAGCTCTGGGGCTGGGGCCTGGCAGGTTGTTTTCTCAAGCGCTCTGGGTAATTCTGATGCACACTCACATCTGAGAACCACTGGGTTCAATTCTGGAGGGAGGAAAGAAATATATCCTGATAACTACAATACCGCAGAGTGGGCATCTTCGCCTGCATGCTCGTCCCCACAGAGCTCTGAGCTTCCTCCCTTCCCTCATCCTCCCAGTCTTTGGGAGGTATCATTGTTTCCCCATTTATACACATGAGAAAACTAAGACCCAGAGCAGTTAAGTAACTTACTTAAGACCACACAGCTCTGTCTACTCCCTAAGCCTAGCGTCTGTGGTGTGGCTGCACAATTGGGTCAGTACAGGGGTACTGCTGTAGCCCACCTCTTGGTCATCATCTGCTGATCTTGTGGTCACTTCCCCTGGGTCACAAAGGGTATGAGCCCTGGCTCCCAGGGAGAGGTGAGCCTCTCAGCCCCTCGCCCCTTTCAGCTCCGCGGGAAGGCCCACCCTACCCTGAGATGGTCCCTTTGAAATGCTGAGTTCTCTCCCACTCTCTCAGCACGACCTTCCTCCTTCCGGGTCTCTTGGGCCTTTCCTTCCACTACACTGACTCTCTGATGGCCGCGTAACTCCCCTTGAGCCTTCCGTGACCTTTAAATGCATCTGCTTCTTTACACCTCCCATGGTTCTAGACTCCACAGACCTTCTCTTCAAACCCTCTTTCAACACCTCCAGCTCAGATGCCTCCTTGCTCTGCTATCCCATCTGTCTATACCAGCCACCTGCCCTCTGCGTGCCTACACCTGGTGGCTATAGCTCTGTCAGGAAAAACCGCCTTGGTGCCCACACTAATGTGCAGAATCCAATCGTGCTGTCACCCTCTCTCCTACCCCTAACGAGTGATTCCAAACCTTCACGGGCTTTCCCTCACCCATCCCGCCTGACCTTGGCCCTCTCAGAAGATGCTGACCTTGCTTCCTACTTCTAGGAGAGAAGGAAGGTCTGGCTCTTTACATGGCACATGCCGCAGCCATCCAGTGACTCTCTGTGTCTGCCAGCAAGGCCCACGGGAGGGCTTATGGCCCGTCCTGGGGGCAGTGCCCTGCGGAGCCACTGAGGTGAGGTGAGCTCTGGGGTCAAGAGTGTGTGGTGGGACTGAGGCAGCTCAGGCTGGTCCGGCCAGAGAGGGAGGCTTCTTCGTGTGTACCTGGGTGCAAAAACGCTCCATGGCCAGACGTGGCAGTCCGTTCATGCAAAAAAAAAAAAAAAAAGAAAGCGTGCTCCCCACCCACCCTTCTCCTCAGACCCATCACATGCCCGAGGGGAGACAGTCAGCAGCAGCTTCCATGAGCATCGCCGCAGATTCACACAGCAGGTCAAAGCCTGACCTGACAACGGTTCTCCAAAGAGGAAGCAGACAATTAGCGCACTGGGTCTCCGTGCATTGGTGCGACCTCAGGAGAACGGTTTACTGATTTGCTGGTGCCTGGGGGTCTTGTTAGGGTTTGTTTGCATCTCTCCGTGTGCATGATGCTTCGATACAAAGCTTGTCTAGTAAGTCTAGCCCAGCGAGAAACTTCCCTTTCATGTGTCGGGGTGGAAGGGGATATAACAAGAAACTCAGTCAAATGCCTTGCTGAGTTCCCAGGGCTGCTGGAAGCCGGTAACCCTGTCAGGATGGAAATGAGCTGAGTCTGATACGACTTGCTGTTCCAGAACCTATGCTGACCTGCCGGGGTTCCCGCCACCTTTCCTCAGAGCTGCAGACCCTGGGCCAGATCTCTTCTAGGAATTTGTCCACAGCTGCTGTCAAGCTCCCTGGTTTGTAGTTATTTTGTAAATACCCGTTGAATGAATGAAATTGCCACATGCTGCCTCTGGGTCCTCCTCTCTCTTCACGGCCCGTGGGGCCAGCTGCCAGGGTGCTGAGGGCTCATCTGCACTCTGTATCCCTCTGATGGGCTGCTCTTGAGCGGGGGGCGGGGAAAGCCTGGAGCTCTTGAGAGCAGCCGCAGCTCGCCCGCTCTCTCCCCTCCTACCTGGGGGTGGTTATCTGTGCTTATGATCCCATCAGCTCCTGAGAGGGAGCTTGCCCCTTCTTCCTCATCTGGACATACCTTGAAATATCCTCTTGGGCATCTGTAGCATTTCCTCCAAATTCAGAGCATTTGGGGCTATAGCCTTTCTGATCAAACACTGCACCATATTCATCTTTGGTTGTGGACCCTTATTTCCATCTTCAGTACATATGAAACTCTAACGAGGTGGGTGAAGTCAGACCAGCTTCCTTAATTCCCCCACTGGAAGAAGCCTCAGGTACATCAATGCAGATGGTGGCTAATTCTGTGAAGCTCATCTCAGGACACCACCACCAGCATCGATTCCCCTCACTTTCAGTTGTTTGTGCCGTTCGGCCCCACAGCCCCTGCCTCCTGTCTGGGCTGCTGCAGTGCCCACCCCTCCAGCTGACCGCCCACAGCCAGCCTGACCCCGACACCTGCATCTCTCGCTCAGCTAAATGAGGGGGTTGTAGGGCATGGCTCTGACCAGAAACCTTCACTAGCTCCCCCTGCCCACAATGGCCCAACTCTTCAGGGCATAAAACTCCACTGTGGACTGTGATCTATTCCTGGAATGGCTGATTAGAGAGGTCCCTTAGCGCCTGAACCCTCCCATTGGACAGAGGGGAAACTCCATCCAATCTACCTGCTGGCTTATTTAGTCTTGCCTGGGCTCCAGGGATAACTCACCTTCTCCCAGAGTGAAACTGGATCCCAATTTCTCTGCTAATGCTGATCCTGGGCTTGGAATGCTTGTTCCCATCTCATCTGCTCACCCAACTCCAACTCACCCCTCACAGGCTACCCCAGAAGCCAACTCTTTCGTGAAACGGTTCTCATATTCCTACAGGCACTTTATCTCCCTCCCTTGTTCTGTGTACATTTTCACGGTGGCATTTTCATCACATCTTGTCTCCTCCAGATTGTCCATCTCCTGAGGGCAAGGACCCAGTTTTGCTCATGCGGTACCCCTGAGGCACACAGCACAGCTGAAGTGCCCGGTGATATGTTCCCCATCAACATTCTGAAGGACAGTGATTTTCATCAGGAGTGCTTACCTCCGGTCCTAAGGGGCTTCTATTATGTTCTTATTCTAGAGGCACGGGGTCCCTGATTGTTTAAAGGCTTCAGTTTCTGAGACAATGGGGACCTCCTCGCAGCCATGATGGGAGGATGGTCGTCAGTGTTTTTCTGGTGCATCGAGAGAAAGGGCTTTTGTTTTCCTAAGGGAGAACAGGAAAGCTAATTAAGAGGGAGAAACAGAAAATATTACGTAGATGTTTTTCTATGCCACACAGTAATCTTCTCTGTAGGGGTATTTAAAACTGTAGGTGTGTCTCTGATTAAGTGGAATTTTAATTGGAAAAGATCAAGACCCTTTCGTAAATCGAGGCATATGGAACATCAGAGCTGAAGAGACCTGGAGAAATCTCATGCCCAGCCTCTGGGCCAATTAGTCATGGGGGCTTTCTTCCTTGTCCCTCCAGGGAGGGAACTCCATAATCCACTCCATCTTTATTGTCACAGTGGTGGTGAGGAAGCACCTCCCTTGGAACCAGATGTCCCTTTCATGACATTTTTGTGGTCATTTAGTTACTGGGGACCCACACACAGGATGAGGACAATCCACTGTCTTCTCCACAGGGAGCAGAGAGCTTGTGCGTTTCTAGGGAAAAAGCTAGGTTTGCCATCAGAGTTTGACATTTCTAAGCAGTATGATTAAGTAAACTATGGTTGAGCTAGGAGACACCGGATAACTACTGGGTCTCAGATTTAGGATGAGATGGGCCCTGAAAGTTAAGAATGACAGATAGTGGGGGCTTCCCTGGTGGCGCAGTGGTTGAGAGTCCGCCTGCCGATGCAGGGGACGCGGGTTCGTGCCCCGGTCCGGGAAGATCCCACATGCCGCGGAGCGGCTGGGCCCGTGAGCCATGGCCTCTGAGCCTGCGCGTCCAGAGCCTGTGCTCCGCAACGGGAGAGAGGCCACAACAGTGAGAGGCCAGCGTACCCCAAAAAAAAAAAAAAAAAAAAAATGACATATAGTGCTTTTCACCATTTTATTGAACTGAGGCTCAGAGGGTAAGTATGTGTCTGTCACATATCCATCACGTTGTGGAGATAGGATTTGAATCCAGCTGTGAACTTAGTTGTCATTTTGATCTTCAAAAGAAAAACAATCAAAATTGTGGACACTGCAGAATAGATACAGAGCCTCCAAGGATGATTTGCATATGAATCACCCAGAGATCTTGCTGAAATGCAGATTCTGACTCAGTGGGTCTGGGGAAAGACCAGAGATTCTGCATTTCTAACAAGCCTCCAGGTAATACGGATGCTGCTGGCTCAGTGATCATGATTTGTGAGGTAGGGACTTAAGAGAGCTGTTATGGGCCTCACTGCTCATTACTCAGGCTGCCTCATCTCCCAGGAATAAAGTATGACCAGGATGCTGCATGATCACTTTTGAGAAGGGGGCCATACATTCGCCCCCAATTCTTCTTAGTCCTGAAGACTGAAGCATTGGATGGTGCTCGAGGAGGGTTATTTGAGGCTTCTGAGGCAGGGGAGCTGGGCAGGTCACATCGTTTTCCTTGGAGCTAAGGAAAAAGGAGAGCCTTGGGTACCACTTCTCAGGCTCCAGGACAGGCGCCTCTCCTGGAGACCAGCAGGGGGCGCACAAAGGGCAGAGACCAAGGCAAGAGCCTTCTGAGGGCCTCCGGAAAGTCTGGGCTGAGGGGTGTGGAAGCCACCAGGGGCTCTGGACTGAGCCCCGCTGAGAAGTTCCTATTGCTTGCTTACATTTAGAGAGCACGCAAGCGCTCCTGGCAGGCTGGCACAGGGAGAGGAGATCACGACCGAATTTCAAAACAGGACTGTGATGTCTTTTCTTCCTTGGCATGCACCTTAGAAGGAATTACCCACCCCTCCCCCAACCCCTCTGAGGCTCTGAATCTGTTGGGCAGTGTACACAATTTTGATTTTTAGGAAAGGTCAAAATGACAACTAAGTTTGTAGCTGGATTCAAATCCTAGCCCCACAATTTAATAGCTGTGTGACCTTAAGGCATACTTAACCTCTCTGAGCGCCAGCTTAATCACCTATATGATCGCAACAATAATAGTTTCTACTTCCCTGGGGAAGCATCTACAGAGGCTTTTGAGGACCCTCCAGTTTCCGAATGAAGAGCCCAGTTATTGATGTGTAATCCTCTAATATTTCTTGCTTGCTTAAGTAGCCAGACATTATTTATCCAACTGCACCTCACCAGAAATGTATTCTTTTTGGAAACCACTGAAGGGGAACAGTGAGAGAAGGAAACGGAATTATTTCTCAGTACTCTGGGGAGATTTGGTGTTTCTTTTTTCTGCACTCGTGGGAAATTATGTAAAAGTTTCCCCTATTGTCTTTAATATCTTCAGGTGGCAGTCCTCCCAAACCAGAACAAAAACAGGACCATCAAACAGAGGCGTGATAGTCTGAAGGAAGGATGTTGAAAACCCAAATGGTTCAGGTACAAAAATGGCTTCTCTTCTGTCTGCTCATTATAAACTCTTTAGCACACAGTTTTAAAGCATCTGATTGAAAGAAATAATTCCATCCGAGCGGTTATTAAAAACTAACAACTAGCGTGATGCATCTAAAAATCCTTGGGAAAAGATAGCTCACCAAGGAACTGAACATCTCTGTCTTCTGCTTCAGGCAGCACCAATATCCTCAATTAGAAAATTAACATCTGAGACTCTGACAGCCCCCCCACCCCCACGAATGCAACTCAGCTAAACCCCGCGTGTTCAGGGGTAAAGTAAATTGCCAGGAAAGATGGGCAGCTGCCAGGTCAGAAGCCTGAGCAGACAGAGAGCTGGGAAGTCTGATATTGCATCCCCTGAAAGTAATGACACAAAACAATCCGCTAAGAGCGGCAAAAATCATTTGGATTGTGATGTAAATTGGAAGCAGCTGGGGGGAGGCATGGGCAAGAGAAACGTTATTAAACTATGATCCGTTAGACACGGAGAATGGAAATGTGAAGAGAGATTACAAAACACTTGAGAACTGTCCTGGGAGGGATCTGCAGTCTGTGCTGGGTTAACAAGAGCATCAAGAGAAACCTCCCAACTGAGCTTAAGGTAGATAGCCAGTGGGAAGCAGCCACATAGCACAGGGATATCAGCTCGGTGCTTTGTGACCACCTGGAGGGGTGGGATAGGGAGGGTGGGAGGAAGACGCAAGAGGGAGGAGATATGGGGATATATGGATATGTATAGCTGATTCACTTTGTTATAAAGCAGAAACTAACACATCATTGTAAAGCGACTATACCCCAGTAAAGATGTTAAAAAAAAAAAAGAGAGAAACCTCCCTAGGCTGGTAAAATCAAGTCCTCTCGCTCTTTGGCTGAGGGAGACACCCCCTGGTGAGAGGTGAGGGAAGGGAGAGGGAGGGAGTCAGGCCAGGAGGAGGGGGTCCTGCATCTCCAGGCCTGCCTGGTGCAGAGGAGGAAAGATGATTTCACTGGCGGTGCCCCAGGGACTGTAAGCAGGGCACCGCAGCCCCGGTAACCTCTGTGTTCTCTCTGGCAAGTGGACCTCCTGCTCCAGCCCTGAGGCTCCTCGGGTTCGTCCCGGAGACCCTGCGGCTGCGGGGACCGTCGCAAGTGTCCGTTTGACGAGGAATAACATAGGGGACCCATGGATTTGGGAGTCGGGAGGGAGGGACGCGGGTGCTGGGTGCGGGGGCGCCCTGGATCCCAAGGGGAGGGGCCGCCTATAAGGGCTGCGGGCGTCCGGGTCCGGGAGAGGGGGACCGATCTGCAACCTTTGTAGACTCCTGAAATGTCCCTCGAGATCATCCAGGCCAGCATTCCCTTCCCTTCCTCTTCCCATTGTACAGAGGAGAAAGCCCAGGCCCGAGGACCTGGAGTAGTGGTCCAAAGGCACAGCCAGAAGCTGGAGAAAGAGGAACTTGACCCCATGCTCTCTGACTCCCAGCGCAGTGCTCCTAACACTACGCCAAACCGCAAGCTAAAAGCAGAACATTCTGCTACATTCCAGTCAGCAAGGGCCAGCTGGGAGCTGGCGCGATTTGAGGAAGGAAGCCCCGGATTTGTCTGGAGAACCCAGGAGAGGACAGACCCTTTCTGTCCTGCCTTCTCTTTTCTTTATTTCCCAACTCCTCCACTGCTAGAGTTTGCAGGTAAAGGGACCTGTCAAAAGTAAAAAACCGGCTCCCCAGAGGCCTGTGCAACCAAAGGGTTAAAGAGAGGTGACCGTCAGAAAGTGGCGGAGTGGCTCGCTGGGGTGAAACCCAGTTCGGGGACAGATACGGCACTGTCTTGAGCAGGACTGAGATGGGGGGAGCGTGAGGGCAGGCGCACAGACTGCTCGGGTGGGCGAGACCCTCAACCCCACTAACGGTGGGAGCTCGGGTGTAATCACAGAATGGCTGACTCTCCCACCCGCTGGCAGGTGGAACTGGGTGATAGGATGGGCAGGGCGGGAAAGGTCCGTGTAAAACGTGGGACTTAATTACAGCGCAAGGATTTCATCACAGAGTCTTTCGGCTTCCATCCTTGGCTGGCAGCCTGAAGTGAGAGCGACAAATTGCTTCAAGTAGGTCTGAAGGGCCGCATGCAGAGGGGTAGAGCCGCCTTCCCGCTCAACCCTAACCCCACTGTCGGGCGGCTGTGGAGATGGAGGGGTGCTCACACTCTGGCTGCCAGAAGTGGAGGGGGGCGGTCTGCCAGGGCACCCAGGGAGTGCTGAGACCTGGGAGCCCCAGCGGCCAAAACCTGACCGGAAACATCGCCTTGCTGCGGCAGGCCCAGGCTTCACTTTTGTGTCTTGTGGTATCAGGGGCACCGCGTGGGAGAGCTTGGTTCATGACACGTTTACCCTGCTTTGTCCTGCTGGAACTGAAAGGCCAGCAGGGGCCTTGCAACCCGTAGTAGCAAGAGTGCTGGGAAGGAACATCACAGTCTGGAAGGCCTCCCCAGGGACAACCAAAGCCCTCTCCCCAGGCCAGGCACCTGGCTTGGATACCATTTCCATTCACCTGGCTGCAGGGACTCATGTCAGGCCTGGAATGACTTTAGATCCTGAGGTCATTGAGAGAGATGACAACTTACGCCTGAATCGCCAGGACAGCTTAGGCTGTTCTCACCTGTGGCCCTTGAAGTGAGCTTCCATCATCTTTCTCCAGTGTGGCAGGGAAGGGGCTGGTGATC